TCATATCCTTATTACATCACTCAGGTTGAATATCCATGTATCAAATATTATTTCAATTAAATTTAAAGAAGACATTAACTGAATTCATTGAGTAAAAAGTCAAAAAAAATCTTAAATAAAGAATTTCTCTTGTCTAAAATAATAAGTAAAGGTCAAATATCAGTCACTAAAATTCATTTGTATAATCGTTGCATATTTTGTGAACTTGGAGGAATATATTAATCAATATAGTTGAGAACTTTAGACTAAAGAGAGCAAAAAGTTACAGTAAAATATTTTGGGGTTTATTGTTAGAATTATGTAAAAATAACTGACATTTAACTTTTGAGCAACTGTAAATATTACTATGGATTCGGTTCCCTGTCACCAGAATGTTCTGAACTTCCTCACAGCACACGCGCTACCCCGATCCACGTGAACTATGGTATTTACCGAACTACCCAATAACCCATCGCCAACTTTATCGCCCTGGAGAAGGGCAAAACTGACTTTACAAAGACGCCCAGACTCGAGCGGCAAAACGAGCACCAACACACTACGGGGCCCACTTCCAAATTCACTTTTTGCAACAGTCCGCAACAAACAGAGAAAGCGAGAAATCTCTATCTGGGAGTTCTCTCCAATGGCGTCCGTTGTGATTGAGGCCTGCCGAACTCGGAGGAGAAACCGCCGGCCGTTTCCGTTTGAGACGTTTGCAACGGCGGGAACCGTCGGTGGACTCAGCGGCGGTGTTTTCAGAGACGACGTCCGCTTGTTTCTCCAGGAATTCGCCGGAATCGAGGACTACGCCGTCGCCGGGATGCCTCTCTGGTCCGTCTGGTTCATCGCTTCGTGTAATGGAGCCGTTTTTCCTCTCTACATTGTTGAAGAACCGGTCCAGTACTCTCCGGAGCCATTCTGCGATCACTGCAAATTCGCAGGTAATCGGTCGCTCGTTATCTTGCCTTGTACTTGAATTCCGAGTAGTTGTACTTCTTCGAACTTGATTTTCAGTTCTCCTGTTAATTTTCTTTATCTGTAATTTATGTTCTCGATTTGAGGCTGGGGTCACCATTACGTGTCAAAGAGGCGGTACCACTTCATAATTCCGGCGAACGCGAACTGGGAGAAACGTCTGGCAAGCAACTGCATGGAAATTGGCACGAATCGTCATACATTGCATGGAATGATTCACTGCAACGGCTATGGACATTTGCTATTCATCAATGGACTCACCGGAGATGAATCACCAGATTCTTTGCGAGGGACTGATTTCATGAACTTCTGGGATCGCCTCTGCACCGCCTTGAAAACTAGGTCAGTGATGCATATATATCTTGTCATTTTTAATTCAAATTTCAATTCATGTATGCGCAATTTAAAGTCAGACTGAACAACATTATTTTCGCTATTTATTTTGATTTTGAAGGAAAGTCTCTGTGTTTGATGTTTCAATGAAAGGAGGGATGGAACTGAGATTACTCTATGGCGTGACTCATGGAATGCCTTGGTTTGGGAAGTGGGGTTACAAGTTCAACCGAGGAAGCTTCGGGGTGACAGAGAACACGTACAATTCTGCCATTGAATATCTTCAGTCCTTAGGCCTTTATCAGATCCTCAACGATTTCAAGACAATCACACCCGGAAGAAGAAGGAATATCAAACAAGTGATTGACAAATACAGAGAAATGAGCCAAAAGCCATTAATCACAATTAGTGATCTCTTGCAGTTCATCATGCTCATGCGGCATCGTTCTCACACCACAATCACTACAACTCGGCCGATTCAGAACACTAATAGTAATAAACTGTCGAATTTAGCGGCAAAAAAACATCACAATGATGAAATTGTCCCTGTTTCTGCAGAGGCATTTCTGAAGATGCTGGTCAAGAACGATTGCAGGTGGCCTATACGGAGGTTAGATTTCGTTCTGCATACCATCGTGGATTTGCTGAAAGAAACAGAAGGTGGGATGTTGACGAGGCAAGAACTTAGAGACGGCGCAAGAAAATGTGTCGGAGACACCGGCCTGATCGATTTCGTCCTCAAATCCATTAGGTGCTTTTCTTCCGGGAATCACATTGTTCGCCGGGCGACCAATCCCACCACTAAGTTATTGGAATTCCGCATTTTTATCAACGAAGAATCCTCTAACGATGAAAAGAACGCAGTGGTTTCCCGTTGTTCGACCAGAAACCCTTCAACTACAAAGAGGATAGAGTTCTTAGTCCCTGGCCGCAATGACATTGATGAGGACCTCAAGCTGTTGTACTACAACGTCCTTCTCGCTTACCCTGGTGGGCAGGTGATCCTGGACAGCAAGCGGTGGGTAAAGGAGTGGGGCATGCAAGAAGATGTTGAGGCTGCAGGGGAAATGATGATGCAGTTGACTTGCCAAGTCCTGCCGAGTTTCGAGGAGCTGGAGACTGAGCTGACCCGCCCATTGACCCCGGGAGAGGTAGTGGTTGTCCCTGGGAGCATCACCATAGGAGAGCTGAAGAGGGTGGCGCAAGCAGCACTGAGGGATACTTATTGCATCATGGAGAAGTTTGAGGTGAGACAGGTTGGGGGGTTGAGGGGGATAGAGGACGAGAGGGTAGTAAAGGGCTGTGTGGGCTTTGATGGGTCAGGAGACCCACACGTGTGGGTGAGGGGGTGTGGTTTGGATTTGGAGTGCCCTATGAGGTACCAAGATGGTGTGGGATCCTCTTTGACAATGAGCTCTTCCAAGGTAGAGTGTGTGTGTGGGACAAAGGAGGATGATGGGGAGAGGATGGTGGAATGTGAGGGCTGTCAGGTGTGGCAACACACCAGGTGCTGTTGTGGGATGGATGATGATGATGAAGATACACCGCCTTCCTTTCTTTGTGATGTCTGCCGTGGTAGTGAGCAGTGGTGATTACACATTTCTTTAAAATTAAAATTAATAATTAAAGAGGTTAACGATGGTTAAAAGTGGTTATTAGTTCATTTATAATGTTTATTTCAAGTGTAATCTTATCATACTATATCATTACCTATGTTCTACAAAGTTTAAATCTTTGTAACTTGTTGAGAAGTCCTCTCCAGGTGTAGGACATGTGTCATATACACATACTTTTTCTTTGCACATGGTGAATGATACCATACTTCATCACTTGTTTCCTCACTTATTTATACCTAGTACTTAAATTGTTCAATTGTATTACCTCCGTCTCCCTAAGTTTGGGACAAGAGAAAGTGACACGGTTATTAATAAAAATGGATTTATGTGGTTGATATTGAATTGATAAAGTAAGAATAAAGTAAGAATGATTTAGAACCACACAAATTTTACCAAATAAGGTATGAGATAATGTTACTGGGACAGACCGAAAAAATAAATTGAGACAATCATAGCGGGACGGAGGGAGTAATATTTTAATTAATTTATATGAACAAAATATGGTACAGTGATGTACTATATATATTAATCTAAGTTAATATCTTGTTAAATGTGCTAAGCCACCATTCATTTTTTGCAGTTAATATCTTGTTAAATGTGCTAAGCCACCATCCATTTTTTGCTTGACTGTGGTATTAAGATCTTGTTGTGCGTGTTTCGCTGTCATGCGTGGGTTTCAATGGAACCAATTCTGTTGCTACATACTCCGTACTTCGCAAGTATGAAATTATCATAAGCAAGAGACCAAACCCTTGTATGTCTGGGAACATGAGACATATATACCTTATCACCATTATTATTATCTCGATTTATCACCCATTTTATTCGTAAAACTTTTCCTGTTTTATGTTCTACTAATAAAGGGTTTTCCCAATAATATGTCTAATGTTATCCACGTGTCTTTGTAATATGGTAACTACCACAAATGGATAGATATTGCATACCATTTCCATGCACAAAAAAAGTAAAAAAAAAATTGGAAGAATTAAATAGCATAGATAGTGTGTAACTGAAAGCCATAATATAGAAGTATTCTAATTTTTTGAAGCTTCTTTTCCACTATCATGGCCGCCAGTCGGTTGATAGTGTTAATTAGTACGACTACAATGCTCAGTGATATAACAGTGAATATGAATATACCTGGCCACAACCTGCACTGGCGAATCTAGTATTCATATTTTGGGTGTTCAAAATTACACATTTTCTCCCTACAATACTAATAAATAAACTACGGAGTATTACTCTAATTCATGCATACACTCCTCCATCCCGGAAAAGGTTCGTCAAATTGACTTTTCTTGGTCAATGACAATCACATTTGATCAATAATATTTTTTAATATGAAATTATTTAGAATATGAAAATTATATCAAAATGTTCCTTTTCTTAAATTTTCATAAAAGTATAAAATTTATAAATTATATACAAATATAATAATTAAAATCATTGTTCAAAGTTTGTCATCATTGACTAAGAAAAGTCAATATGACGAACCTTTTCGGGATGGAGGTAGTATATATTCCCATTGGTTTTATACTTTTATATTTTGGAGGGGAAATTAACATTAACAATCCATACTTTTAAAGATTCTATGTTAATAATCCATACTAAACAAATCTATAGAAATAATCCAAACATGTATACTTGTTCACAAAAATAGATTAAATGAGACGGGGTTAACTATTCCGTTTCACATACCTTGATTCATCACCTTAGTTTTCTTCTCACGCTCAATGTTCTCTTCATCCCCCTTTCATCGGTGACTATACTCTGTTCTTAAACAATTTTTTTCTTCGTCGTCTTTTGAGGGGGATTTTTTGTTTCCTCCCTACATACTTCACGGTACTCTGTATTTTAAATTCTTTTTCTCTCCACTTTTTTACTCTTTCTGTTTTCGATTTTGTCAAGATTAAATCTTCAATGCTGCAGATCAAAGCCTCGATGCTGAAACAGATTACAACTAAGCTGTTCTAATATGACTTGTAAATAAATAAGATGATGACACGTCATTATCTTATGAACGGTTTAGATTAGTTCGTTGGTTAGCAGTTGTATAAAACCAACTATTGTAATCGGTTGAACAACTTTTGGTTAATCAGAATACTTCCTACTTAGCTTCCTGAACTTCTTCTTCTCTATCTCAATTTCTCAGTTTCTCAATTAATCTTGTTATGAATCAGTCACTCTTGCTCAGATCATAACAATTGGTATTAAAGCACATATACGATCATACTAATGACAAAGATGAGCAATACAGACCGTCTTAATTACTCAGCTTGAATTGGAGTTCGCTAATATACGAACTAATATGGTGAGGATGAACGAAGCTCAGAGAAATGACCTAACTCGCATGTCGGAATCATAGGAGAAGCGCTTTGAAGAAATCCTAGCATCAGTAAAAGGAACCAGTTCATCTCAGCACATCGAGCATGAAGTCAGGCCTCAAACTTCTGGAATACTATCTACACCCTGAAAATATACAGGTATTAAGCTGGATTTTCCTCAGTGTAACGTTGAAAATGCAAGAGGATGAGTTAAAAAATGTCAGCGTTATTTCTTGATTCATAATATGTCCGATTATGAAAAGATAGTATTGGTAGGGATGTATGTTGAAGGGAATGTTGAACACTGGTATATGGATATGACGATTGCTGGCAGGGAAGCAATGAGTTGGGATACCTTTGTAAAACTGTTTCTTGACAAATTCTCCAAAGACAATGAAATAATTGGGGAATTTAACAAATTGAGGCAAAAAGGTGGAGTGGAGGATTATATTGATAAATTTTCTGAACTTAAATCTTTCATGTTACAAAGAAATAAGTTCTTGGATGATTTCTATATTGATAAATTTTCTGAACCTGTTAAAAGATTGAATAAAGAAGAATTGGATGAACTATACACAGTAGGCCATAAATGCAAAAAGATATTTGCCATTCTGCTTACAGAACATGAAGATTGTTCAAGTGTTCCAATAGATGATGGTGATAGTGAGAAGGAAGTCAGTTTTGGAGTATCAATGCATGCTCTGAAAGGTCAGGTGCCTACTGATACCATCAAATTGATAGGGAAGGTTAAGAATAATAATCTAACCATACTTGTGGACTCTGGGAGTACACACAGCTTCATAGACCTTGGAGCAGCTAAGAAGATTAATTGTGAGGTTGAGATTACTAATCCTTTACAAGTGACAGTAGCAGGAGGAGGGCAGATTGAGTGTAACTCCAAATGTCCTAGATTAGAATGGGAAATGGCAAGACATTGTTTTGCAGCAAGTGTCAGGATTTTTCCCTTAGGGGGTTATGACATGGTAATGGGAGTGGACCTAATGAGGAAATTAGGACCTATTATGCTGGATTATGACTACCATACCATCACTTTTGATCATAAAGGACAAAGAGTTGTAGTACCGGGCATTCAACCAGATATTTCAGTTAAAATGATCACAGGAAGAAAGATGAATAATCTATTGAAGAAGAGACATGGAACCATATTTCAGTGCCTCAGTATGTTGACAACATCTGTAACTAAAACTGAAGATCACAAGGAAGTAGAGTTGGAACAGATTATCATCAACTAGCAAGACATTTTTCAAGAGCCCACTGAGTTACCCCCCTCAAGAACCTGTGAACATCAACAAAGAAATGCAGACATAACAAAGATTATAATGGATTGAGAGTTGTTTCATAACAAAGAAATGCAGACATTTTAGTAGTCATTTTTCTGTATTCCATCATATTTCCAAGCCAAAAAAATAGTGAGACTTTGACTCTGTTGCAATGATGAAAAGATCGTTTTGTTTTGTGCATGATAAATTGGGAAATTAATACACATGTATACATTATATTATAATGTTGTTAACGGTTAAGGCACTAGTTTATATGGAGAATCTTTACCATAAAAAGAGATTCATTCCTCATAAATCTCTAGTATATTACTCCCTGAGTCCCAAATTGTAAGATACATTTACTATTCACTTGGTCAACATAAATCATTCTTAATCTTTTATTTTATATATTAAAAGTCTATGAAATTTGAATTATTTTTTGCAGGCTTTGTAACGGTTATAATGTAGTTTCTGAATATGTAAATTTTATTTTCTAAAACTAATTTGAATGTTGACAAGGATCAATTTGCTTTATTGTCAGTCAAACGTCGTAAACCGTAATGTATCTTACAAATTGGGACGGAAGGAGTATTTAATATTTGGGTGGTATGTGCCCATATCAGCCAAGCCTATATATCTATTTGTTGTTGCCTCCGTCACATACTGAATAATTTTGTGACAAAATTCGACAAAATTCAGAAACACGAAGTTCAAAAAGTTGTGCTTGCAAGCTGGTAGCACTTTGATTAATTTCTTTTTTATAATTTAAGTTTTATCAGAATTTTTATAGGATAAAAATTTATCTAAAATAATTAAAATTTTATTTGATTTTTTTTATCATAAAAGAGTGGACGTTATATTAAAATCGAGAACACATACAAGACAACATTTAGACAGAATTTACAATTTATAGATCCAAGTGTGAACCCTAGGAGTAGAGTTAGAGTCAGTCACCTCATACAAAGCAACATGACTCGCTAAACCTGAAACAAGCAAATTTAGGCCTAAAACAACCGGAACCGGAACCCTGCGTCTATCAAAAGAATTCCAAAAATCCAAACATTCAAACCAAATCTACTCACACTCAAACATAATCAATCGCAACTGAAGGGAAAATAATACCGAAATAAATTCTTTCCACAAAGCTCTTCCTAGTATGAAGGTGGTTCAGGAAAAGGACGAGTTCTTGCAATATGCAATATGGGTGAATACCAACTCCACTAACATAGTTGATGAGCTCTTGCAAGGTTTCACGATCCAATCTGGATACAACCTCTCAGCCGCACCTCGTTCATCCGCTGCTAACACCAGGGGCGGGTCTATGCCTTGAGAAGTGGGGGCAAGTGCCCCCAATAAAAGTTCAAAATTTTAGTATATAATTAGGTTATTTATTGTAAAAATAAAGTTTGCCCCCAATCAAATTCGTAGGTTGCCCCCAATGAATTTTTTAGATTGCCCCCAACAAAATTTTTATTACAAGAAAAATCATATTAAAGAAAAGGGGGGTTTTATTTTAGTTCTCCCACCTTAATTTTATCTCCTGGGCAATAATGGTTTCTCTCAGAGGCTGCTTTGGGGGCTCCGTGTTTTTTAAGGAAAGTCGCCATTCCATTTGGCGTGTTTTGTTAACCATAGTTTAAACGAGCAGTACATTGATAAATATTTTTACGGGTATTAGCCCTAAATAGGACTACATAGTTGTTGAAATTCCAAAACAGGAGTATCTCTATTTTTATTCCCTAATTAGGACTTGTATTCCAAATCTGCCCTGCCTTTAATCTCAACATTTCAAAACGTTTGCATCATCTTTAAGCTATCTATACGGCAGTGAGGCAGTCCATTCTCTCTCCTTCATCTTCTGCAAAACGAGCTTGAGACAGGAGCCGCGAGATTTGAGGTAAGGCAGCGGCCGCGAGATTCGAGGTGAGGCAGCGAGCAAAAGCGGCGAGCAGAGGGGTCCAGCGGTGAGCAGCGTTGAGCAGCGGTGGGAAATGGTGGAGCAACCGTGAGCATCCAAATCCGGTTCGAAGTAGCTCGTTGGTCGTTTTTCTCCTCTCTTCTTCTGTCATCTTCTTCTTCTTCTTCTTTAATCTCTCTTGGCTTCCAGATTTTCTCCTCCTCTTCGAATTTGTTGCAGATCTAAATTTCTGTTTCTTTGATTGTTAAAAAATGTCAAATTTTGTTACAAAAATGCCAACAAAATGGCAATATTACTCTTCGAAAATTCCACGTTTTGCTTTGAAAATGCCATTAAAATGACATTCTCAATTTATGTTGGCATTTTGATAAAAAAAAATTGACATTAGTGCCCACAATGGCCAGATCTTCAGGGTGGAGGCCGGTTTTTGACCCAGTGGCGGCCGGATCTGCATGGGGCAACCGGCGGCGGCTCCATTTGGCCAGATCTACCGCGGTGGGGGCAATCTTTAGCGGCGACCGACAGATCTGCAGAGGGGGCGGGCAGATCTACATCAGTGAGCTTTTTGAGGCAGCGCCGGCGACCGGCAGCGACCGACGACCGGCGGCAGTCCGGCGACCGGCGGCAGTCCGGCTTTCTGTCACCAGGAGTACGTGTTTCCAAGTTTCAGGGTTATTTCTTCCCAATTACAAATAATAACTCCTGTTTAGAGAATTTCTAAATTTTAGTCCTATTTTAACAATTAATGATTTATTTACTCTTGTTTAGATAAATCCCCCATATTTTTAACTACACCTTATTTTTGTAATTAATTATTTTTTTAGCACTAGTTTAGAAAAAAACTCTACTATATCTATCCTAAATTAAATTGGTCATCTTAATAAAAGAAAAAATTGATTGGTCTTTGAATTAACTTATGCCTCCAATAACTTTACTTTCTGGATCCGCCACTGGCTAACACTAACTTTTCCGACATACTTGCAATCATAAGTGTTAGAACACTTAAAATCAGCATAATCTGCCATTCCAACCCCATATTGATAGGGGCGGTGGAAAATTTCAACCACTACAAAAAGGCAAGACGCCTGCTATGGTTCTTCTCTCTACAGATCGAGAAGAGAGAGGGATGAAGAGTTTCTCGGTAGTCGTATTTTTGTATAAAATTTTATGTGATTTAAATTCTATAAATAATACGGAGTATATAATTAGATACAATTTAACGAAGACCAAGACAACAACCACGAAAGCCATAATTTAAAAAAATGTTACTTAAACCACCACCATGCATTTTGGCACGAATGAGTTAAAAAAAAAGTAGTACTCAATATTATGAAGATGAATTTTAAGGTGAGTGCGAGGAAGAACCGTCCCCTCAATTAGTCAATTCTCTTCGCATCAGGGTTCCTCATTTTATGAACCACTTCCATATTATGGTTCTTATCATTACTCTACACCACCTGATGCATATATTCGCACATATCAGAATTCATCATTTCACTATATGCACAAACCGTCGTTTGAGTCTCGTCGTCCTTATACGCTCACACTGGTGAATTGAAACACTAGCAACGGGGACATATCAGACCCGATCGAGCACATAATCGATTGTTGAACAATGACGACCAAGACGGCAACTTCTTATTATGGCTAGATATATCAAAGCAAGAATATTAATTAAATAACGATATTAATAAAAATAATAATTACAACAACATAAATAAAGTTTGCTAGCTTAATATTTCATTGATTAGGATATCTAATTAACAAGCTCCATATGGCCACCATGCTAATTCTGCCTACCGGATGGACCAGAAGGAGGGACAATTTGACCTTTTGGCAGCATGTTTAGTATTCCTGCATCATTTTCATCAGCTTGACCGCTCCGGTGGGGAGCGTTTGGCCTCACAGGCTTTAACCCTATAGTATGAGCACCATCGTCGAGGTCTTTCCTGGTTCTTAAGGTTCCCATTCTCATGCTTGAAGATGAGTTCACAGAGAGGGAAATGAGCAGAAATAATGAAACGGTGAATCTCCATGAACACGGTGATGTGGTCTTTGATTGGAAACGAGAGGCCATTGAAGGATGTCTTTGAGTGGATGGAATTGAAGATTATATATCTCTGCTTTTTTTCTTTTCAAACTTGCTAGCTAGGTCACTTCTTTTCTCTGGATTGAGGAGAATTTGGCTTGGAACGTACGTGATTTATATATATAGATGCTTGTGCTGATATGATGACTCAATCTCGAAATTATTTGTTCAATAAATTATCTTTTGGATTCTTGGGATTGTTATTTAACTATATGCTACTTATGATACTTGATAGTAAGAATATTTTTAATTAGATTGAAACTTTTTGTTTGATCTGATTTGGTCTGTTTAAGTTTTGTTTGAACTTATCTGGTAGCTGGATGTGTGATTTATGTGTATTTTACAACTATTGAATTCTTTAATCTATTGAAGTCTTTGTATAATCTTTTCTGAATTGATCTAATCTAGCCTGATATTGAAATTAGTCTAAGTAAAAACATTACTAACTTATTTGGGCTATTTAATCAATAGCTTAATGGATTGTCCATGGTTAAATATTTGAGTGCATGCTGTATCCAATACTTGAAATACAGATAGTATCCTATAAGAAGTTCTGTATAGTAACTGAAATAGCTAGCATCATTAGGTTGACCATAAGAACTACTCCGTATACTTGAAATATTTGAGTGCATGCCTTGAATCGTACGTTGACTATAAGAAGTTCTATATCGTAACTAAAATGGCATCATTAGGTTGACCATAAGGCCTACTCCGTATAGTACTAAATATGATTTTGACTGGTTTTTGTTAAGATGTAAATACCAAGATTAATTCAATAAGTGTATTTTTCCACATTATAAATAAAGGCATCAGGCTGTACGAATACAAGTCAGCCTATTTCCCCATTATTCAATCCATCGATTACTTTCTGTTATTCTTCTACCTGCTCTAACAAACTGGTATCAGAGCGAGAAGAACTCTGCGTACTCTGAAATCCAAGAACGACGGCGGCAATGAACAACTTCTCCTCCAATCTCCCTATTCTCGACGGCAAGAACTGGCGTCGCTGGTCTATCCAAATGAAGGTGTTGTTTGGTTATCAGGACGTTCTCGACATAGTGGAAAGCGGATTTCCGGCGTTGACCGAGAATACAGTTTGTTAGAGCAGGTAGAAGAATATGTAACTCGAATTATCTCTGTGAGTAATGATATGAAGTTGTGTGGTGAGAAAATGACTGAACAGAATTTGGTTGAGAAAGTACTCAGAACCCTACCC